ACAAACGCATGACTTTCTGTCTACCAATCCGCTATTTTTCTTAGTAACATAATACTATAAATGTGCGGGCCTAAAAAGAATTTCTCGAAAGCAAACGCATGCTCGCCGACTTATCGTTTACATTTTTAAAGGGAATTTTTGCAAATTTAACGTCCAGTAGTTTTTACACAAAATGACCTTTAAAATCGGCCTTTTCACTAAACGTTTTAGCTAGGGCGAGTGACCTCACCCACGGATAACTATCGGGCATCGTCTACTGAGCGAAGCATATCAGTAGCGGGGGATTTGACCTTTGACTCTACTCTGACCTCTGGTGGCCTTCGCCGACGCCTTTCCCTCACAAGTATGTTCATCATTTGTCTGTTTTCTACCCATCTTCATGAATGTTTTTCTTTCTCCGGCAACGGTTATTTACGTAGTGCCCCCTCATTAATTTCTATTCCCAGCATTTTTTTCCTATGGAAACGGTGGTTATTGGGTTTTTATGGGTGGGGAAATAGGATAGGCAGTGGAATATACGTTAATAACTGTTATATGTTTTTTGTATTGTTGCTGATTTATATCTGTAGATTTTCCTAATCTGTTTTATCCTGTAACGCATTGCAGAAAAAAATTCGATTATCAAAATGCAGGTCTTTTGAAATTCTTGAACAAAATAGACATGGTGGTCAGGAGATCGTCTACCTCAACTTACCTGGGGTCCCACTTACCGTTCTGGAGTTAGATTAGTATAGTCCGCGCCGCGAATCGCCGCGCACACCTTCAATTTACTTAAGAACAACTTACTCTTAGCGGCCGCGGGAAACAAATTCAACTACATTTTTCCACTTTACACTTAGATCTACAAATTTCTTCCCCTGCGTATCCTATTTCCTAACCACCAGGTCCCCTTTAATCACCGTTTCCGTAGGACAAAATACTGAGACTAGGGGTATATGAGGTGCGCTACTTAAACTACTGTCGCAGGTTGTTGTTGGGTCGACCACCAGGAGGTTCCCCCAAATTACATGTCTGGGAAGACTGAATGAATTCGAACAACGTTACTGAGCTCCAGTAGCTTTCCAGCGGCCGCGACAAGCACCAGGTACAATAGCCAGCCGATTAGGAGCAAAAGTGAGGGTGTGTCAAATTTAGGCTGTGGGATGAGTAATCAGTCAGCTGCCGCCAATCAGAAGAGGCGGAAGTATCGAAGCGGCGATTGGGTCGATATTGTGGGAATGGCCGATAACACGCGGAGTATGTGACTAGGCATGGGTTTAAGCCCTGGCAGGGCGAAAGTAAATTCAGCGCGGCAGGCTCCCACACTACTTAGCATTTTTTTTTTACCAACATTGCCTTCTTGTAGATCTCGTACTCGGTTTCTTCCGTGGTTCGTGGGATGAAACCCAACCGGAGTCTCCCCCTACACAAGCCAAAGCCACTGTCTCAAAACGCTCCAGGCCGACCTTTTTTACCGAGGGTGAAGTTGGCCTTGCGGGTGATGAACAACAGCAGCAGCAACAGGAGAAACCC